TAGCTTCTGCTAGGGTTGCCATATTTCAGAAAATGGAAATCTGGGGCTACCCACCTGTCAATCACATGGGGTTATTGTGACATGACAGGTGGGCAAAATAATATCCTCTCTGGGGCTTTGCAGTGCCTATAGGTCCAGTATGAAGACATGCTGGTTTATGGATTCTTTCCCCTTAAAGGGGTGTGGGTGGAGAAGGCTGTTTCTAATGGGGCTTTCCTATATTTCTCCTTTAAGCAGGTGGGTGGCAGCAGCGGCGGTTCAATCTTAAATCCTGCCAATGCAGGATTGAGCCCTGTCCTCTTATCCATCACCAGTGATATCAGTTGATGGGCAGCTGAATGTGGTTTGGGGGAAATGAGTGTGATCAAGCCAAGATTGGCCAAGGGCATGAGGTTCCACACCCCTGACTTTCTCCATACCACCTATAATCCTATATGCTTCTATCCTGCTGTCCCCTATTCACCTGTTTCCCAAGATACAAAGCCCCAATGCTGCAACCTTTCCCCACAGGGAAGTTGTGCCATTGATCATTTGCATTTCCTATTCTGGACCTTTTCCAACTCTACAATATCCTTTTTGAGGCGAGGCAACCACAGTGCTCCCCATGGGAGGGATGGGGGAACCTCAAACTGGGGGCTGAATGCAACCCTCCAGGCCTCTCTATCTGGCCCTTGGGGCTCTTTCCCAGCCACACCCCTCCTCAGTCCTCTCACTGGTCCTGCTTTGCACCCTCCTAGAATGTTCTGCCTGGCTACAATGCACCTTTAACCATGCTGCTTGCTTGCTTGCCTGCACAGAGGCTAGAGGAGAATGAGAGAGTAAATTAAGGTTTGTTGACCCACCTACTTTCCAGCTAGGGAGACTTGGGGGGCATATGTGTCCCCAATTCCTGGGGTTCCCCATCTCTGATCTAAGGAACTTCCACCTGAAGGCTCCCCAACCAGAAAATCCAAATGGTAAAAAGACTTGATTTATTTTACAAACTGCAATGAAAAAGCTGAATAGATGGTTAAGTGGGCATTTAGGGGTACTGTAATATTGAATAGCTTATGCAGCTCTGAAGATGTGACTCACCCTTGACTAGGAGCACTGTTCCATTTCTTGTTGCTGACTGCTTTCCTGTATGATTTTCACCCGAGTCTTAATGATGCTGCAAGTGTAGAAGTACTATCCGTGCAGGATCATTTACACTGCTGCAATGTCAAGTGTCAAAGGACTCTGTGCTGAGCTGGAATGTTCCAGATATGAACGACTGCATTAAAAAGCCATGGAATTCTGCCCCAACATGATCTGAGCTCAGCATTACTGATGAAATGCCATTTCGGGCAAGCAGTCAGGCTCTTGGGAACTTCTAAGCCCTTGTCACTTAAAAGAAATCAGTGGGACTTACCTCTGAGTCAAAGTCTGTTTGGGGGCTCTGATAAAACCCTCAAGCCTCACCCACTGACTCCTTCCATAGTTTTCTAAAAGAGTAGCTAAGGGGAGAAGCCATAAAAGATAAGGGAGGGGTGGAAAGATGAGAATTACATGCATAGGACAGGAGTGATATTTTCTCCAAGGAGGTGGATGTATAACTCATCCCCAAGGAAGTAACACACTGGCTGGGTCTTGTTCCTGATCAGTAGGAGAATCAGAATCAGGGAAGTACGAAACCATTATGGGAAGTCTGAGGAGCTCACCAAGCCAGATGTGGTGTGTTAGCAGTATTTGCATGTTCCTCTTGGAAACGTTTCGGCCAGCCAGGAGCCAGGTGGTGAAAAGGGTAGCAGAAAACCCATGGTCTTGGTACTATGGACAGCTCCCTAGTGGTGACGGCCGAATTGTGCATGAAAGGAAAACCACATGCAATCTGATCAAAGCCTGGCAGAGTCCAGTAGATGTGTGTGTGGGGTGGGGAGACACAGGATGGAACAGAACAGGACACAACAACCTGTGGCTGGGTTTCTCAAGGGCTGTTAGATAAGTTTGGGGGGGGGAGTTAAGAGGTAAGCATTTAAAACCCCAACTGAAGTATCTCCCTTGGATAATAATGATTGTTTATTTTTAGGAACAAAGGAAGCTACCTTACACTGAGCCAGATCCTTATTTCATCTAACTCTGTACTGTCTAGACCATGGGTAGGCAAACTAAGGCCCGGGGCCCAATCCGGCCCAATCGCCTTCTAAATTTGACCGGCAGACGGCCCGGGATTCAGCGTGTTTTTACATGAGTAGAATGTGTGCTTTTATTTAAAATGCATCTCTGGGTTATTTGTGGGGCATAGGAATTCATTCACACACACACCCCAATATAGTCCGGCCCCCCACAAGGTCTGAGGGACAGTGGACCGGCCCTCTGCAGAAAAAGTTTGCTGACCCCTGGTCTAGGCTGACTGGCAGCCGCTCTCTAGAGTTTCAGACAGGGAGCTCTCCCAGCCTTGAACCCGAGACCATGAGCTCTGGGATCTGCATGTAAATTAGATGCTCTACCAATGAGCCACAGCCTCTTCCCTTTTTATAACTTTCCCCTTTTACTTAACTGATCAATAGTGCTTTGCATTGCCAGAAAAGTGGGAAGGAAGCCCTATAAAAATAACCTGTAATAACCTATACACCAAATGTATACACTCCAAAAAACCGACAACGATAGCAACAGTGGAGTTGTTTTATAAATGTATATGTGGGAGGATTACCATCTTTATTCAGGTTTGTTTTACAAAGCAGGAGAACAAAGAATTTAAAAAATGACTAACAGTTAAAAGCTTTTGGATTGCAGGTCAGAGGGGGAGGATTAATTTTTATAAACATACTTTGCATGGTGCTTTCATGATTTTATGAACCATAATAGCTATATGCTGCTTCCAAATCCATAGGCACCATGTATACCCCAAGCACAATCCTGTCATTACTAGCTCAATGACAAAGCCTGACCTGGAACTTTCTAAATGACCAAGTCTGGTCCTCTTACTTCTCAGCAGCTTTTGATACCATTGACTATGGGATCTTTCTGGAGCGACTGACTGAACTAGGGGTGGGTGACACCACTTTGCAGTGGTTCCAATTCTACTTGGATGGTCGTTCCCAGAGGGTGTTGCTTGGGGAATGCTTTTCAGTCCTGTGGAACCTTCAATGTTGGGTTATGTGGGGTGCAATCCTATCCCCCACATTGTTTAACATCTACATGAAACTGCTGAGGGTGTTATCTGGAGGTTTGGAGTACGTTGTCAGCCGTATGCTGATGACACTCAGCTCTATTTCTTCTTTACATCTGCAGGTGAGGCAGTGGAAGTGCTGGACCAGTGTCTTGCCTCAGTAATGGACTGGATGAGAGTCAACAAACTGAAGCTCAATCCAGATCAGACTGAGGCACTGTTAGTGGGTGGTTCCCTAGACCAGATGGGTGGGAGATCGCCAGCTCTTGATGGGGTTACATTTCCTCTGAAGAAGCAGGTTTGTAGCTTGGGGGTACTCCTGGATCCTTTGCTGTCGCTCGAGGCTCAGGTGGCCTCAGTGGCTTGGAGTGCCTTCCATCAGCTTCAGCTGGTGCCCCAGCTACACCTCTATCTGGACAGGGATAGCTTAACTACTGTTGTCTATGCTCTGGTAACCTCGGGTTAGATTACAGCAATGTGTTATATGTAGGGCTGCCTCTGAAGATGGTTCGGAAACTTCAGCTGGTGCAGAATTCAGCAGCCAGGTTGCTCACTGTTGCAGGTTGGTTTGAGTATATTACACTGATCCTGGTTCGACTGCACTGGCTACCAATTAGTTTCTGGGCCCAATTCAAAGTGCTGCTTTTGACCTATAAAGCCTTAAATGGCTCAGGACTGCAATACCTCAAGGACCGCCTCTTTTCATATGAACCTACCCAGAGCCTGAGATCATCTTCTGAGGCCCTCCTTCATGTGCCACCTCCTTGAGAGGTCCGGAAGGTGGCAACACGAGAATGGGCCTTCTCTGCAGTGGCTCCCCATCTGTGGAATGCTCTCCCCAGGGAAGTTTGACTGGTGCCTTTATTATGCACCTTTAGGCACCAGGCAAAAATGTTCCTTTTAAACCAGACCTTTGGTTGATTTGATTGACACCCTATGCCCTTTTAAAATGTGGATGGGGGGGGAGGGGGGTTATTGGGTTGTTGTTGTTGTTTGATTATGCATTTGATTTATTCTGTGAACTGCCCTGAGACCCTCCTGGCCTCTCTAACTGGCCCTCAGAATTCTCTCTCCAGGCAGGTGTGCTAGCTTGAATAAAATATTGGGGGGAGGGTTCCTCAGGTAAGTCCCACCCTGCTTAATTGGTCACATGATGCAGTGCATACACACCATTTGAATGGCAGTGCCCATCAATTGGGGGGGGGGCAGCCACCTCAAATATTTTATTGGGGGCAAAGCCCTCTTGGCTCCTAGAAGTTGTCTCCTATGTCTCCAGGTCATTGGCTCTGCTTTCCAGCCAAAGTGTTCTTTGCCTGGTCAGAATGTGTCCTTGAACTGTGACAATGCCCTTTGCTTGTCTAGATGAAGGATAGAACATGAGGTGTGAGTGTGTGTGCGCGCGTGCGTGCACGCGCATAGGAACCTGACTACTGTACAAAGGAAAAACCTATATTTCTTGCTCCAACCACTTGTGCCTCTGGCCCCACCTACCACTGGCATGTGGCCCTCAGAAGGTTACCTAGAGGAGAATGTGGCCCTTAGGCTCAGAAAGTTTCCTCACCTCTGAAATAAAGCAGTAAAGGGGCCAAAGTAACTTACAAAGGTGAAATACATCTGATAAACTGTAAGTTGAGAACACTTAAAAATCAATAAAAAGCAAGTGTATGGTGAAATGGTGTGTGTGTGTGTGGGGGGGGGAATCTGAGCAGACTAGAATAAAATCCTTGAAGCCAGTTAGCATCAGCCTCTTCCCTTGGACTCTTTCAAACCCAGTGCTTGCCCGCAGCTCCTCCGAAACAGTTAACAGGCTCAGAGTTCCCGCCCACAGGTATGATATCACTACTCCCATCTGCCAATCGCCTCTTGATGTTGCGGCAAAAGAGTCCTCCAAGCCACAGCTCAGAGCAGAAAGCAAACAGCGGCAACAGCAGCCAGAGCCCGAGGAAAGAGACGGAGGAAGACAAGGAAGAACACAGGACTTTGCTTTTCTCACTTCTCTTCTCCCTTGCAGAGAAAGCTGTGCTGGGGGCAGGAGGCTGCAGCCCATGCTGTGACTCGCCAGGCTCGCGTGGGCACCTGCCCCTGTGCACCTTGCCAGGATGATGGGCTGCAAGTCCAACTCGCTGACTTGCTTGCAAGGAGGGAAGCCGGGTCTGCCTGCAGTGGCTGCCACCACCGACTCCACGGCCACACTCAACAAGCTGGCGCTGGCCACGGGCGGCACGGAGAAATCCTGGTACCGCTGCGTCTTCCCCTTTGGCATCGTCTCCCTGGTCATTGGCATTGCTGCCACGTGCATCACCTTCACCATCAATGGGCGGCAGATGGACATTGCCAAGGTGGTCTCGGTGGCCACCCTGATCTTCGGGGTGGGCCTGCTGGTGGGCGCCTTGGTCTGCTGGCGGGCCAAGAGGCAGCGGCAGCGCAAGAAACAGCAAGAGGAGCCTGCTTCCGTCGAACAGGGGGCTTTGTGATGCAGGCACCAAGCCCAAACCCCGGCAGGTAGACCCATGGCTGGCAAGAACCCCACCTTTTTCTTGTACTCCATGGCAGAATGAGGGGAGCCAGGAAGGGGGCTTTGGCAGCGCCCTCCAATGTTTTGGGAAGAGAGAAAAAGGACAGTGGAACCTGGCAGTGTGGGGGCAACTTTTGTCCTGTTTTTACTGAATGTGTTGAGCGATGTTTTGGACAGTGAAAGGGAATTGGCCCGATCCAGGAAGGATGGTGAAAAGCCGGAGACAAGTGGCAGGGCTGGCTGGCTGTGCAACAGGCTGTTCCCTTACAAAAGTCGCCCTGACCTTGGGTTTGTGAGCTTCTTTGCCACACAGAACTGTTTGTTTACAAAGAGCCCCGGGGAAAACTCCTTTTTTAAAAAAACACCAGCAGAATGAGAGCAGGGAAGGCGTTTCCTCCCACAAGGATGCTTTCTGCTTGTCTCCCAACACAGCTATGCATATTGTTGACTGATCACAGAAAGAGATACCTATTTTTTTTTAATGAGGATCGTGGAGCAGCATTGCCTAGTGAAACATGAGCGAAGCCAAAAGTTCACAAGTTTCGGCAGGACAAAAACAGTGCGATTCTGCTGGCTGAGAAGGATGATGGAGCCTGGGGGTTCCAGTTGGTGGTAGCTCTAGAATGATGCTCCTTTTCCAGGGTGGAAAGCCCAGGTCAAAGGTTACTGTCAGGATGTTTTTGGAATAAACAGATATCGTCACTTCTTGCAAGTAAAAGTGAAGAAATACCGTTTGATGGAGAAGGTGCACAGTGGTAGCAAAAGAGCCCAAGACAAGTTTCAAGATCTCACGAGACATGGGACAGTTGAAACTGCAGCTGAAGCTGACAAAGCGGTACAGCTTTCCTGTGGGAATGGCGGGGCAACTGTTCATTGGGAAGTGCAGCCCAGAGTGCGAAAGAAGAGGCTGGCCTAATCTGTCCTTCAGCGCAAAGTGCTGCAAACTAAAGAAGTTTCTAGTGCTGGTGGAGCTTTGCCCACCTGACTATAAATTCAGCCATGTGCCACCAACCCATGCAGTCTGCATTGTGCCTCTGGTTGGTTGCACATTGGCAATATACTGACGCAGGAGTGTGCTGTGAGGTTGTCCACCACAGACGGTTGTTCCACTAGTTTTCCAAAGCAATGTATCAGGTGTTCTTGATAGAATTAATGTAACCTGTAGCTTGACAGTTGCTGCATCAGAGTTGTGGTTTCAGAGGATGCAAAGGGCAAGTCGTTGACAGGGCCCCAGTTAGGACAGGATAGCAGCTGAGCTTGTAAGAGGCATGAGAGAGAGAGAGTAAATATATCATGCATTAGATGCCTACATTAAAGTGTGTGGGGGGGGGGGGGCAAATCTCAATGTCCTGGTTCAATCTTTCAGTGTTTCTCCTTGGGAAGTAATAGGATCAGAACAAGGAATGTGTGTATTCCTGACTTCTCTAAGCTTCCCCCCTTAACCTGACTTCTTTGGCCTGGTTTTTTTCTCCCAGCAGGGTGGCCTGCAAACCACAGCTGTGTACCAGCAATTCAAAGGAGGTCTCCTTTCTCCTCCTTGCTGCTCATTCTCAGCTGAGCTATAGTAATACCAAGGCTGGCTGATAGCTATGGCTGGAAGAGTGGGGGGTGGGTGGGTGGGTAGGGAACAGCTGCTCTCTTGGCTCCTCAGCACCTGGAGCTCATCCACATCCACACATGCAGCTGGAAAGAAGTGAAACCAGACTCTCTGTAAGCCTAGGAGCCGGAAAAAGGCAGCGGCCAGGACTGGCGTGGGGGTGGACGAGGCTGGGAACGAAGGGTGTGCACACATACATCACGTTTCCTGGCTAACTCCTTCACAGTATGCTGTCGGATTAACCTCCTCCCCCCCCCCGGGGTGTGTGTGTGCTGCTGTTATGTCTGGCCCAAGTGTAACATATGTGGAAGTGCAAACTTGACTGAGCAGGAAGGGAGACAGACAAGAGGCAGCAGCGCTTTGGGGCCATATCCAGATGGTAATCTCCTGTACTCCTTGTTGGGAGTTCTAAAACAGGGATGACCCACATCTATTCACTTGGGGGGGGGTGCTCAGTCCTCCAGACTTTCCTCTGGGGAAGGGCATAAGGAAGTTTGTTGCAAACATCTGAATGGCTGATAGACAACTCAGCAGTAGGGCATTTGCTTTGCATGCAGAAGGTCCCAGTTTCGCCCCTGGGTATCTCCAGGCAGGGCTGGGAAAGACTGCCTGCCTGAAACCCTGGAGAGCCTCTGCCAGTCAGTGCAGGCAATATTGAGCTAAATGGCCCAATGCCCTGACTGGTTTAATGCAGCTTCCTCTGTAGACATGCTTCATAATAAAGGTATCATTGTTATCTTTTTATTCTGCCTTTCTCAAATGACAGCATGCATAATTTCTGTCTTTTATCCTAAGGTAGGCTAGGTTGAGAGATGGTGTCTGGCCCAAAGCCATCCAGTCTGTTGCCAGAAATTTGAACGTGGATCTCCCTAGAATAAGTCTGACACTAGCTGCCATTGCGCCACACATTCTGCATCTTGCACATCACATACCGTACACCCCTTTTTTGCCCTTGTGTATGTAATTTCTGTGTATTGGCATAGCTTTTGTTTCTTGCAAACATTCTTTTCTCCATGAATGCAACCGTGAGCAACCTTTCACCGCCCCTCGATTAGATCTTGGTGGGGCTTCCAGGGGCCAAATAAAATTGCCTCAGGGTTGGCTGGGCTGAATCTACTCAAAGGGTCTAGTTGCCTACTACCACCCCATTCAAGGATAAGGTCTCATACCCGAGAAGAGGCAGGCACCTTTTTGAGTAAGAAACCAGATGTGCTGACCGTACGTATGGTGCTGAGCCACATGGAGGCTCATTCTAGCCATGGCAAGTGGACCGGTGCAGGTGGAAGCATTTTGACATAGGAAGTGCTGGGAAGATTATGCCAGATCCTACTCAGTGACAGAAGTGAGGGATAACTGTTGCTTCCCTGGAATATGGTAGAGCACATGGTGTGCATGGAGGAAGTACCAAGTTCATTCAAAATAAAAATCAGAGTTATTTCCGGACTAGTTTGCTGAGCATACATCCTGATTTGCTTGCACAAAGGAAGTGGGAAGGTTTGATGATGTTGGGAATTTATTTAGCGGCTTCTGGAGTGTTTCCCCATCACTTTCCTTATTGCAAAGAGAGAGGGGGGGGGGAGAGAGAGAACAAGTCCAATATGCGGGAAGGGGTGGGAACGTGTTGGGCCACCCTGCCCCAGAAGTACCCCAGGGAGCAGAGGAAAGGAAAGGCACCACCTGGGCAGCTCTTGCTACTCAGACTAGAGAATACGGTGCTAAATGGACAAATTGCCTGACTTCATTTAAGGCAGCTTCCTCTGCAGCATAGCTCTCACTTTTAATATATGTGATCCATGTGTTTCAGGGAGACAGACCTCTCAAGCATTTCCATAACTTTAAATGAAAACCATGCCTGTAACAAAGCCAGGATTTACAACTCCCCTCCCTTCTCCAGGAAAGATCTTTTGTCAGTTTCTAATGCTTTGTTCTGTAACTCAAGAACTCAGAGCTGCTTTCTTTGCTTTTTGTTAGTCTCTGTTTCCATTGAGGGGGTTGGGGGGGGGTTTTAAGAGAGAAGAAAATAGACCTTTGCTCACCCAGGAAGATCCTTTGTTTGCCTGCATAATAGAGCAATAACCTGCCACGGTTAACCCCTTGCTGTTCCACTGTTGCAAAAGACAGGCGGACTTTCTATAATTAGGCTGCCAATAGCAGGTCTGTTTTCTCTATTTCTGGGCACCGGGTAATCAAATATGACCCCCCCCCCTCCAGCAGCTGAGCGCAATGCATGGCATTTCCTGGGCTGGAGAGATCTGTATACAGTTTTGTTGACATCCCTGCATGATCTTCAAGTCCGCAAGCCAACAAGCAAACTTCAAAAGACTTGGGGGTGCATACAGATATGCCCAGCTTTGGGATCTCATGCATTTATTTCTGCTGTGGGATGAGCTCTGCTATCTTCCACTGCTGATGTATGTACATGTACTTGGCTCTGAATTTGGGCAGTAGCTTAATGGCAAAACACCTGCTTTGGATGTCGATTCCAGGTTCAATCTTCGGGATCTCCAGGTAGGACTGGGAAAGATTCCTTGCCCGAAACCCTGGGAGCTGCTGCCAGTCAGTGTAGACAGTACTAAGTTACCTGGACCAAAAGTCTGACTTAGTATAAGCAAGGATCCTAAGCTCTTGCAGCAAAAGCCCCTTCTAGAAGTTACCTTGTTTATTTGGATTGGTTTGGTTCACTGCTGCGACACATAAGCAGTGCCGTTGGAAATATATTATCTGTACAAGCATTTATAACTTCAGTGAGGGACACACAAAAAATATGCCAGGCACTGTGGAGTTCAGCTAGGAATTTTGTTGGTCAGGTGCCAGTTCCCTGTGCCACTGCAGCTGTTGCCTTGAGGGCGAAACTGCAGGTGATTAAAGTTGGGCTTCATCATTCTGCATGATTTATGAACATAGAAAGCTGTCTTCTGTTAAGTTGCCACACCCCTCACTGGCCCCATTTTGCACTCTCTTTGGGTGATTTCGTTTCGTTTTTGCCTGGTTGGAATGTGTCCTTGCACACATGGAGGCTAGAGAGGGGTGTGTGTGTGTGTGTGTGTGTGTGTGTGTGTGTAGAGACAATCTTACCATGTACAGATACAATTTATATTAATTGCTCCATCTGCTTTTTCTTTTGGTCCCATCCTGCACTGACATGTGGCCTCCAGAAGATTGCCCAGAATTCACCCCCCCTACCCCTGGCATAAAGGAGTGGTCTGGTTGAAACCAGAGACCCACCTCTGACTCCCAGGCTACAACATGGGACCCGTTTTCACATTTGATTTATACCTTACAGAGCTGATAAGGCACGTGATGAATCCTAAAATGGCAATTCACAGAGCACAGTGTTCCCTTAGCATTGCTACTAAATGCAAATCAGCCCTGCAGTAAGGCACAAGCATGTGGGTGGCAGGAAATACGTACCTTATTATTATTATTTTTAATGGTCCATTCCATTCCCCTGCCACTTAGCAGTGCTTGTGGATGTTGATAAAATGAGCATCTCATCAGAAGAACACATCCTCGTCCAGACACACATGTAGTGCTCCTTTGGTCTGGCCAGCCTAAGGTGGAATCCAACATGGCGGCAACAGCTTTGCTGAGATCCACCTGATGTGGCCTTGCTACCCATCTGCAGGTCCTGATCTTCTGGCATTGGGCAGCTGCTAGTAGTCATGCCTCTGCAGGGCTGGCATAATGTACCATAAGTGCTGCTGCAGGCAATGAGGCTGGCAATGCACTTTCTGCCAGTCAGTGGAGGCCGTAGTGCTGAGCTTGACCTTCTAGCTTGGCTGAGTTCCTGCTTCCGATCACACCTTTTCTCTCTGCTTCTAATCAGCTAAATTTGGCCATGTTCTTGGAAGGTGGAACATTTTATGCACAAACTGTGTTGTGGTTTCATCACACTGGCCTCCGTTGCCATAGCTTGGCTTAATGGAAACTAAGTTGGTGTTACCTGCAAATGACATCTGCTTCCTAGGTTTCCTTCCTCCAGCTGGAAAAAAAAAAGTATCCGCTTGGACCACTCCAGCGGTCATCACTACTACATGGGTCAAAAGATTGTTTGCTTTCCAATACAATCTCCTGAATCAAAGTTCTTAACATTCTAGTCCTGGCTGCAGTGGGAAGCGTCCAGGTGATGAAGCTCCACATTGGTGGGACACAGAGTGATGCTGGAACATGCAGCTCTCCAGACATGGTGTAGTGGTTAGAGCACACTACTCCCATCATCCCAGACCACTGGCCATGCTGGCTAGGAATAGTGGGAGTTGCAGTCCAACCTGTGGGGACCCAAGGTTGAGAAAGGCTGGGTTAGTGTTGGACTATGGCTTTGGGAGACCAGGGTTCAAATCCTTACTTGGCCATGGAGCTTGCTGGGCCAGTCACCAACTCTCAGCCTAAGTTACCTTACAGGGTTGTTAGGAGGATAATATTAAGAAAGGAAAAACCATCTTGCCCTGGCCTCTTTTGGGAAGGAGGGTGGGATCTAAATTTAATAAATAGATGAAATAAATGCACCACATTGAGCTCCTTAGGGAAAATGCAGTAATGATACAGGTGCCCCCCTCCACTTATGCAGGGTTTACGTTCTGGGCCCCCACACACATAAGTGAAATTGTGTAAAGTGAGGAGCACCCTCTAAACACCCTTTAAATGCCCTTTCTGCCACACTCTCTTCAATCCACACCAAAAAATATTGCATCTAAAAATATCCACAACTAGAAGGTGGAGGATGTTAAGTTGTGGGTGAACATATCAGACGACACAGCGATTCTTCAAACAGCTCTTGTTTATTCACAGGCCAGAACAGAACTGAACTGAAGAGCTCAGTCAGCCTGCTTATATAGAGCTCCACTAGAACGCAACAGTAACCATTTTCTGTAACTATCCAATCACTGAATGTCACTTTCAATCCCTTATTTGCATATGTGGACCTGAGTGAAAAGTATCTACACTATCCCCCTGCTGGCCCAGGGTGAGAACTTTAGTACATAACAGAGGATGAGTGGGAAAGTG